AGTGGCGATCGAACGATAAAGGTGAGTGCTTAAATTGTTGTGAATATGTTTTAATATTGGTATTAATATTGAAGGTTTGGAGTACGGATAGTTGTGAATTTGTACGCACGTTGATTGGTCATCGAAGAGGCATTGCATGCTTGCAGTATCACGATCGATTGGTGGTGTCAGGATCTAGTGATAACACTATTAGGTGAGTATGTGCTGATAGCTCTTCGCAGTTTTTTTTAGAGAGAATATTACATTAGCCATCAATTAATGTGATACTTTTCAGGTTATGGGATATCGAAATTGGAACGTGTTTAAAGGTGTTAGAAGGGCACGAGCAGTTGGTGCGTTGTATTCGATTCGACTCGAAACGAATCGTCTCGGGAGCTTATGACGGGTGGGTTGCGTTTAGTTTTGTGGTGCGTGCAGTGGTCATTTGGCATTTATTTGACAGATGTGAACTGATTTTACTGTTTGATTGTTTGAATTCATTTGTCGAGTAATTTCATTTTCAGACGAATCAAAGTATGGGATCTGCAAGCTGCGCTCAATCCTCGTTCACCACCCGAAAGCATTTGTTTGTTGACCTTAGTGGTAAGTGAATTTGATCAGAGCAGTTGTATTGTCTATCTTATTGGCGTTTTTACGTTATATGGTATTCTAACTTGGTGAGATAATATTAGCGAATGTGCACAGAACTGGAGAATTCTCAGTGAATAAAGTGAATTTAAGACTGTTCCATTGAATGTTGATCAGCAGCATGTTCGTAAACAATACCTAATGTTAACTTTAAGCACTTATAGAATGAATTCCGTGAAATTATCTCTTGAAATTTTGGAATGATGTTTTTCAATGAATAAATGCTGTTTCAGGAACATACAGGACGTGTGTTTCGTCTGCAGTTTGACGAATTTCAAATAGTATCGTCATCGCATGACGATACCATCCTCATATGGGACTTCTTAAATCCTCATCCCGGCGTGTCGGCAGCGAATTCGTCGAGTGAAAGCGTTGCTCGTAACAACACGAACAATATCAGTAATAATCGCAACCCACAACCCCTCGCTGCTATGGCTGCAGCTGTTGTACAAGCACCCAACTTGGCACATAACAACGAAGATGCTTCTGATAACGGTTCGTTCACTACAANAATTAATAGAAGAGCAATAAAAGGTAAAAACGAATTGATTAAGATAATAAGATAATGACTGACACTCTTGTATATATTGGCGGTTATTATATATATTCGATTCAGAAGCAGTGGGTTATATCGATTAATTGTTTCAGATGAAGAAGATATCGAATTTATCGGTGCTGCTGGTGCTGCTGCGGGTGATCATAATAGGTTTGTATAACTGTGGATTTTTATTGAATTTTTCCTTTTACCTTTTATCAGGGAAAAATTTTTTTAAGGAACGATGTCGGCCAGGATTGAGTGAGTTTATCATTGGTCAGATAGATTGATTGAGCAAATGAAACGTTCGATAGGATGGTGAATTGAGTTGGTTGTTTTTGAATGTTCGCTGAAATCTTAGAGAAGCGATTCGAGCCGACCAGCAACAACAACACGCGGAACAGCGAGCAAATCATCACGGAGTGCGTAATCGTCATCGCCATCAACATGTGAATAATTTTGCGATGAATGCTAATCATATGAATATGTTACCGGAAAATAATATGGAACGATAAGTGCAGTGCGGTGGGGATCACTGCACTCGGGATTATCGGATACGACTTTATGGAGATTTACGTATGTGAGAAACTAGAGCGAGATCGAACCGGTAGATGTTTTTCAATCTAAGAGATGAGAACGATTCAATTTGAATATCACAATACATATGCGAACACATCGACTGCATATGATTTTATTCGTTTGTGTGGACAGTTCGCTAGTAATAAAATGTAATGCTTGTGTGGTTTGATGATGGTATGACCGTGATTAGATATCGAATGTTAACTGAATTTTACCAATGTTGTCACATAGTGAGTGTACGGCTACGAAGTGTCAGAATTTCTTTTCGCTGATATGAATCAACAGATTCAGTAAAAATAGAACGTAAATTTCCACTAATTTGACTATTTTT